ACTCCAAACGTGCAAGGTTGGAGTTTTTTCAGAACTCAAAAATCACAGAGTTCCCTGCCAATTCACCATTCTGTTCGGCAACTGTGCAACTTTTGAGGACTCTCTCTGACTCTTCAGAATTACAGAAGCTACCGAAAATTACAGAAAACAACAGTGTGTAGTTTTGGCGTCTCTCTCCGGCCAAGCACCTCAGCTGAAAGCAGCCCAGGCTGTAGATCTTCGCCATCAAACAAAAGCTCCAGTGAGTGGCCAGGGGGGGAGAAAGGGAGGAAGGCGCTCGAAGTGGGACGTCACCTGGCACTGCCAATCGCCGACTAAAGCCACTCATGGCCATGGAAAGTGCTATTGATATATACCTAAGGAGCCTAAGGAGAATTCTGTGAGATCAAAGGAGCAAAGTCTCTGTGATACCCTGTCTGTGCCGTTCTTTTTTGTTGGTGAACCACCTGTGGTATTTGGCAGCTTCAGCCGCACCCGCATCGTCCCGATGATGCAAACGACGTGGAAGGACCACTGACGTCCCTGACGTCCCTGACGGAAGTTGCGAAGAAGACCAAGCAACGAGTCGCCCTGTTTAGGTGAACCGAAGTGCCCCCCCCGGTATCGACCATTTCAGCCTGAACTGCTCTCAAAGGCGTCCGTTGCATTGGGGATGCCCTTTTCAACAGGGCTTTGCAAGGATGGTCATCGGGAGCCCAGACTTATCAAGAACAATATATAATTCAAAGAAGCTCAACACCCTGATGGCTTAGCGCAGCAAACCCATCTCAACTGGAAACCCCAGGCTTCCACTACCCTCGTTTGACATCGTTCTTCATTTTAGCATCCACCATGCACCGATCAGCTAAATCTCCCCAACAGAACCCAAAGTTGCACATGGATGACACCAGCAAAACTCCAGCTCAGGTCCCCATCTCAATCACGGCTTTTCACCCGCCCGAACGATCTCGGCTTTTCCGGCCACATTGGGCAGCTCCCCGCAGCTGCCTGGCTGCTCCGCTCGGTCCCCTCGGTGCCGAGAAGAAGCTGCTGCGCCCCAGCTGAGCGGCACTGAGCACGGCGGAAAGGATGGCTCAGCACCAGCGGTTCAGTTCAGTTCATCCGAAAGTCTCTTTAAAAACAGATGCAACAAGGCAATAGGGTTGGTATATGTCCAAAACAACATCCGCTCCAAGAGCGGAAGGGTCTTCGTTCTCAGATCTTGCCTTATAGGCCCTATAAGATGCATGATTTGTTTAAAGGCTTTACGGATTTACGTGGTGTACGGAGGTTCACACCCGACCCCCCACACATGTTCATTGACTGGATGCAAGACACAAATCCAAAGATGTCTGTCTGACGGGGGTTTTCTCCTGCAGGATCAGATGTTTTGGTGGAGGGAGAATCCGGGTGTTCATACACAGATTCTTGGCATGAGCTCAACGAACCATGTACAGTTGATCCCAAAAAACGATATCGAAACAAATATATCGGATATGGCCATGAAGGGGGAAAATCATGGAGCAATCCACTTATGGATCTTATGGGACGCCTCAAACCAAACAGCTTCGAGCTGCCAACTCTCTCACAGACGTGAGTGGCCTCATGAGGGTTGGAATCGATTGCTTCTGCAAATTGCACACTGGCTCTGGACTCTCCAGAGTCAAAGCTCGGCTCCAACGAACACATCGCAACGGCTCCTGAGCATCGGACAACGCCCCCCCGGCACCAGCTTTCAACACATGGCAGTGGGTCAAAACTGGGGGCGGTTTTTCCCACCCAAAATGAATAGAGGGCCATGACCCACAGCCCCATGTTGCTTCTCCAGGTGCGAAGCCCGGTTCGACGTTTCGACCAGCCAGTCAGATCGGTCCGGAATCGGTCCGTGGAAGAGGAAAGAATTCAGACCTATATGGCCCTCACCAGCCATCGCCTGGGCCGACGTGGTGAAGAGGTGGCGAAGAGGTCGCATGGACCTTTGGGGAAGCGATTTTCTCTTATCGAATTTTGGATTTCATGAACAGTCCATGAAAATGCTCAGATGTCTTGCAGCCGAAACAATTCGTGCTTTGGGGTTGCAATCCTATTGGTCAACACACTTGAAACACCAACACCCAAAAAGCTGAACATCTCCAAGGTCCAGGTCCTGACCTTTTGAGATCTCCCAGTGTTTTTGAATGTTTTTCACATTCCTCCCAACCCAAGGTGGCTTTAAGCTGCCAAGACTCTTGGCGACGTAGTCAGCTATCTTCGGCAGGAATCCTGGGACTCCTGCTTTGCCGTACGGCCACCCAAGAGCTTTCCAACTCCAGCAAATGCACGTGTATCGTGCATCAGGGTGAAAAGAACAACACCGCGAGAAGGATGGCAGGGACAGGACACTTGGGAGGACAACCTGAAAAAAGACGCACCTTCCAAGTGATTATGGGAATTGATAGACCCATGTTGCCTTGCGCGTCTATTGATCCGACGGCCTCCTTAAGAGACTCTGAGGCCCCTCAGGAGGTGAGACACCGAGAAAACCGTCCAGGTGTGCGTCTCAAATGAATTGACAGTGTTCGATATGACCAGACCCTGATTAAAGATGTGTTTTTTACACGTTTTTAGGCCTGATACCGGGAACCCGGTATGAGCTGGTAATGCATTGAGACCCAAAGCAGTCACCCGTTGGGAACCACTCAGTGTACCTCCGGTCCCGGCAGTCACCGACCCGATCGACCAGACGGCCTGCGCGAGCGACGCGGTGTCCACCGGTGCCCTCAGCCGCACCAGCAGGCGCAGTGTTCTAGAACAAAACAGACTAGGTAGACTTGAGAGAAGGGAGGGATTAGCCATCATTTCAAGTTCTTACTTGGCTGGTTGAAAGTGGTTGAAAGGTCACAGCTTTTGGATGCAAATGTTGTTTGTGCCGCCTCCACCGAGGCTGGATCGAATCACCGGACTGCACCGCATACCTTTGGCCAGTCTGGTTGGAAAGAATAATAGAGGTTTGCTTCTCTTCCCCGCTGCTGTCGCTGAAAATCACTCCACGAAACAAACGCGGTAAGAAGGGTTGACCTTTTGGCAGCGAAGAAACACCAACCTTTGGAGACCTCCAAATTGGCTGCGCAAAGGCTTCCGGCGATTCTGGCCGCAGATTTGAAGCTGCGAAACTCAGCGGAATGGGAGATCCCTTCACCCTCCGAAGCCCCCCCATGTGTACAGCGCCTTGCGACCCATCTAGCTCATAGCAGGTACGAACTAAGTGGAGTGAAGTTAGAATAAGTACACTGAAGTTAGAAACACGCTGCTGAAGGTGCTCTTGGTGGAAGAAATCACGTAAAGCCTGCTGCCGACCAAGTCGCGCTCCGGATAGCGGGTAACTAAGGTCGTTTATGACGGTCGTAGCGTCGTCGCCACCTGCATTTTCCAAGCTCCTGGGCGGAAAGGAGCAAAGTCTTTGATCCTTCGGTGTTGTCGACCAACCCAAACATGAGTGGTCAAGCTTTGTCTTTTTCAGATTATGTTCGTCATCCAACCGGTCGTCTTTTTTAAAGAGAATCAGCAGCGCCAACCAGTCCTTTCAGTCCACAACATCCCCCAAAAGCACCTGAAGCGGTCTTTGATTCACCAGGTATAAAACCCCGCTCCCCAACACCGCCTACATACTTGCGTCGATGCAATGCGGGAAGTCGATGGAGTGACTGGTGGAGTGCCCTCCATCCGCGTCATCCCCGTCTCGCCGAGTCCATCCATGTCACGGGCGCGGCGAACCGACTCCGTGCGCTTCGGCTTCGCCTTCATCGCGCCTGAGTGCAGAATGCCAGCTCTTAGGAGTAGTGCACGAATTCCAATATCCCAAAAAATCCCAAAAGGCATGAGAGGACTCTTCCCAACTCAGGGCAAACCTTCATTCTGCATCAGTTCTTGCAGCGAGTGTTTCACACCATCATCCTGAAAGCCAGCACTGATTGCCACCAAGGCGCGGCCAAGACTACTGCAGAAGGCGACGCATGTCGCCCCCTATCCCTTCTGCGGGCTCAGTGCAATTCAAACCCACATGACCCTTACAGCTGAGCCCAAACCGCAGCAGTGGAGCGTTCACGAGGAGTCAGGGGAGCGTGCAGTTGAGTGAGCTGCTCACGTGACTGGGTGGGAGGTTGGGAGAACTGAGTCTAAGGGGTTTGTAAATTCAGTAGTTTTTGCTACAAGCCAGGAGGATCCAAGAAGTAGCTCGTACCAACAAGTAGTTGACCAAATGGCGGTACTGCTTCAACGAACCAAGTTTAAACATGAGTAGACGGACAAAGGTGGAGAATCCTGCGCAAAATCAAGAAAAGTTACCCCATGGCGGTCGAACAGAGTGGAAGAGAAACGTTGGAGGCAGAAGTGGAGCGGGTTTGGTTCCAAGATGTTGGTTCCTTCCTCTTGTTTCTCATCGGACAGTCCCATGTGTTCATCCAGTTGCTGTCGAGAGTGGATGATTGTGGGGTGGCAATAGATTGGAACGTTTGGAATGATGTGGAGAAACAGTTGCCGCAAAAGTTTACATGCTGCCATGTTCAGAATGCAGGATGCCATTCTCAAGCCATACATCATACAGGAACATCTCAACCCACTCCCCCGAGGATTCGAGGATCTTTTCACTCAAGCCAAGCTCTTTCGTTCCTCCAACGACTTAGTTCGTCTTTGGATGCCGTTGGACTGCAATGATGGTGACACACACAGCGCCTTGGCCATGAGTTGATCTTGGCCAAGAGCTCGATGCTGCCTGGAGCGGATTCCTTCTTTGTGGTGTGACGTGTCCTATTGTTGTTGTGGCAGCTTTAGAAAGAGCAGGGAAATCAAAAGCACTGCCACGACATGCAGCGATACACACATTCTATCAATGTAAATAGGATGGTATAGACAGCATGAGAATCCTCACTTTGCCTGCGTGAAGCATCAGGAACCATTGCAAAGCATTTGCCAAAAATGGCAAGTTGATCACAAGAAATCACAAGAGTTCCCTGCGAAGGATCGGTCCCCCACCCTGAAGCACCTCAGCCTGATCGCCCGTGTTCATGCCGGAAGCGCTCCAGGTTTTCGCGACTACCTCGGGTCTCCTCGTGGTCTGGGCCGTGAAGCTCCTGCGATGAGTTTTGCCGCAGAAACAGGGTTTCATAGAATTTGTGGACGGTGAGTTGTTTGCTCAAACGGTAGGGGGTATAGAGGTGCACCTCGAAAACGACCAAGTCTCTGACAACAAGACTAAGACGATACCTCTTGACTCTTTTTCAGTATACGTTGTCGAGTAAGCGTGCACCGCACCATGAAACTCTGAAAACTTTTGTGAGAAATGAGTTGAGCGACAAATTGTCATTGATGCTCATTGAGCACTCGATCTGCGGAGTGCATGGCATCCTTTCAGCGTCTTTCGATTGTCGGGTTGTCCTCCATGCCGTTCAACTCTCTGATGAAAAGCTCTTCAGCCTGGACAATCGGCTCTCTAATTCCCGAAGCTTCAAGCTCGGGCATGATACAACTTAGCCAGTGGGTACGTCCGCTAGCATCATGGTAGGCAATCAAAGAGAAAGCTCCAAGTTCCCAAACGTCCTTTTTCATCCTTTTCCAAGGGTTCGCATTGAGCGAAAACGGCCATTCACCCTTGAATAAGGTCTTAATTTAGTTCTGAATACTTGCTATTACCATTTGAAAGGTCTTGGCCTGAGGTCTCGGCTACGACGCCTTGAGTCTCCAATGTCTTTAACTGTCATGGAACCCCATGATGACTCCAGATTCATTGTATCCAAAAGAACTCACCACTTAAACCCAACAACCGTTCCACCGCCCATCCGCGGAAGGTCCTCCCCTTCAGACCATTCCTCCCCAGCGCCTCGGCGATGGAGCCGGTCGCCTCCAAGAGCTCGGCCAGGCGATGGACGCTGATCAACGTGTGCGGATGCCCGGCTCCGAGGCGCGCCTCGCGACCCGCCAGGGCTCTCCGCAACAATGCCTCCGCGTCGGCGAAGTTCTTCTGTTTAAAGAGGACACCCGCCAAATTGTTGACCCAGGTCAGGGTGTCTGGGTGTGTGCGCCCGAGCTGTGCTTCGCCCCCGTCAAGAGCTCTTCGGTAAAGCTCTTCGGCTTCCTGCAGCTTGCCTTGGGCTTCGAGAAGCGTGGCTAGGTTGTTGATGGAAATCAAGGTCTCTGGATGTGTTTCTCCAAGAAGAGCCTCCCTTCCCTCCATGCATTTCCGGGCGAAGGGCTCTGCTTCATCCAAATTGCCCTGATCCTGCAGCACGAGTGCCAGGCTGGTCAATGACACTAAGGTGTCTCGATGCTTCGTGCCCGCCAGGACCCGGCGCTGCAGCGCCTCCGCCTCGGCCAATTGGCCTTGAAGCCTCAGCACATCCGCCAAGTTCGCCACGGACACCAGCGTCTCCAAATGCGCATCTCCCAGGACACGTTCCTTCGCCTTCACCGCCCTGCGGTACAAGTCTTCCGCTTCCTTCCACTGGCCGCGGCGATGCAAGACCAGCGCCAGATTGTTCAGCGCACTGAGCGTGTTCCGATCCTCGGGACCCAACTGCGCTTCGCACGCCGCCAGGATCCGCCGCCGCAGCGTCTCCGCCTCGGCCAGGGCGCCGCGCCACTCCAGCACCTTCGCGAGCCTCACGGAGTCGAGGTCCAAGGATCGGTTGGAATGGAAAATGGACCTTTTTGGATGAAGAAATCGTTTTTGTGATATCATATTAATTCGATCTGTAATATGTTGATCTGTTATTTGATTTAGATCTGTAATAATCGGATTGTCTTTAGACATGTCATTGAAATCTGACAAAAACAAAAGATGCAAAGCCATTCTCTGAATTTCCAGCACATATTGCATCTGCAGCAGTCAGTATACTATACAAATTGCCTGCGAATATTTCTGAAAAGGCCGAGGACGTGACCGGCTTAATGCCAAAAGGGTTTCAGCATGCTCTGAGCCCAGGTGGGTGGTGATGGCTTCGGCGCGGCAGCGGAGCCTGGGCCACTCACAACTCGTTCACCAATCTTCTATCAACACGAGCGCTCCAGAGTGTGCGTTATCAATCAGATTCACAGTCTAATGAGGAGTTCATTTCTGAATACTCTGGGTTGTGGTGATTGCCCAAGCCGTACTCGAATACTCACTTCTGTGACATCAATTAGCTCTACTCTACGGCCATTCAATTTGGGAGAGCGGTTCAAGCCTAAACCTACAACAGTGTCCCAAAGACAAACAAACAGCAAAGTCAATGGTTGTGGGGTGGCGTTCGCCACTCTTCAAGTCAAATAGTATCGTATTCTGGTATTCCTTGCATGCCCTGAAAATTGTGAAAAGCTTGCAGCAAGCCACGCACAGGTGCAAGGCCATAGTTGCTAGTGCTTAAAATGCTTAAAACGACGTGTTCACAAAGCTCACTGCCCATCCGGGCACCAAGCATGAGAGACACACAAAGGTTGACTGCAATTGCCTGGTCCAATGTGCCAGCAAACAAGCACTGACAAGCCCAGAACAGAAGGTCAAAAACTGGGTAAGAAGTCGCCTTGATGATGTCGAAAGACAAAAAAAACTAAGGTTTTACTATTTACTATATTATCAGCAAACAAGCGTCGTTTCCACCAGCACTGCTCTAGCATGGCCGACCTTCTCCTGAGCAAGCAGCAAAATGCCCTTGTACTTATACTATAGTTTAGAACGATAGTTTTTGCCGTTGCGCCACACCGTTTTCATGGTATTGCAGCGCGCCCTTGCATCTACAGTAATTAATGCCTGGCATGAACACATGCGAAATCAGCATTGTGGATCTGCAGCTTCAACTTGAAGCTACGCAACACTGTATATACGTGCATTCCAGAAGTTGCGAATGCCCGACTGCTTTTTGACTGCGAGCCATTATCGTTCCAACACCCCCTACCCAGAGACGCAAAAACCATCTCAACACATGTGCAACACTGCCAGAACTGCCTAATTGCTTTTGAAGCTTGGCATGACATATAGCTTGCTTGATAAACTGTTGAATTGAAATTCTGGAGTTGTTGTCCCAACTAAACTTCCATGATAATCTGTTTCAAAGTCTGCTCGCCTCCTGTTGTACTCGGACAACTATGCATTCTCTTGGCGGCATTCCAGGTTCATTCAGCAGCTTGCCAGCCAGATTCCTTGGCCAGCTGTAGATCATGGTCTAAATTTGGATATGGAAGTTCGTTTAATGGTGCAAAAGTGAACTTGGTGCGCTGCACTCCGATCGGCCTGCCCTGTGCGGAAGACAAGCAGCAAAACGCACGAGCACAAAGATAGTTTCACACAGTTGCAAACTAAATACACAAGCCATGGCAAATCCAATTCGAGCCTTCTCAACCATTTCCGGCGTCTGTCGTTTTGAGACATCATACGCGCAGCTTGCATCCACCAACATGGGGATGCAATAGGCAACTCTGGAGTGATATTCCTTCAAGAATCTCAAAGGGAATCGGCCCCGGTCTGTCCAACAAGGCTAGGCTAGGCTTGCATGCACGAAAGAAATGTGAACACTGCATGCTACATACTTCATCATCTTCAAACAGCAAACATCAAGAAAAATCACAAATTGTACGCAAAGCTCTCCTCTACCGTTGCCTCGCGGCCTTTCAGTTCGATGTCACGCTTCATCATGTTTCTGTAATTATTATCGAGCAGGGTCTCGATGTTGGGCCATTGATTCGGTGCTTTCCGAACCTCAATCGCCCCACAACACGCAACACGTAACGCTGCAGTTCTGGTGTGTTAGGGGAAATGCAGTGCGGACAGCATGGCTGTATCGGCCCAGGCAGGACCTGCATATATATAGTTTCCCCTCTGAGATTTGCATTCATCGAAGTGTGACACCCGCGTCGGGGTGCCCGAGCAACTGAGTTCTGTACGGAGTAGACACCTGTCATTGCTGTGTCAAACCGTGTGTCTCACAATGACAGTAGTAGGACAGTGCCAAAACCGATGCGCTCTGCTCTACACATGCAAGTGATACACTACCCACCATGGCCAAACATGTTGAAATGAATACATGCCCAGCAAAACGCCGGCTCCTGAGAGATGCAATGACATCAATAAACATCAATAAACTACGAATGCTGTTCGTATTCTGGAACTTTTTGTTGCCATTTCCAAGATCCAGTCTGAGAAAAGACTGACATGCCAATAGCAGCCCTTGCCTCGGCCCCACCAGGCATTGGCCTTTTCACCCTCTGTGACCAAAGATGCCTGCAAAGGCACGGATGCAATGGAGCTGACTCACTGTGAAGAACTGAATTCAAACAGTGTAATGACATTGAACTCTGAGAGAAACACGAAGACTTCCACCAATTCTTTGCTTTCGTTGGTGATGTTGTGAAAGCCGAGCTCCGTGGTGTAGTGGAAAAAGCATTCTACGTCACCAGCACCACCAGCACCACCAGCACCAGCTTGCGTCAGATCCTGAGATGTCAAAAGGCAGGGATCAGGCAGAGGTCTGCCATGTTTCTTGGCCCGCCAGGCCTTTGGGCCTATAGCCGCTATACTATAGCCTGTCACAAACAAGGAAAACCACGTGATCGGGGGGGCCATTTGTCCCAAAGAGTCTTTTTCCAAAGGCTCTGAAAACTGAAATTAGAAAGCACTGCAGGTGTCAACTCTAACTCGTTTGCCTGTATAGACATCACAAAGCTTGTCCCTTACGTCAAATACAAAATGCAACAACATGCTTGTGCAACAACTTAGGTCGGGTCAAGCGCATCTTGCCAGACCTGCAAGAATCTGCTACGAGCTACCGGTGCAGCTCAAGTTCGCAACTGTGAAAAGGTGTGACGAGGCGTTACACAAACCCTCACATTGATGGCACCTTGATGTTAGACCCCTTGTGGAGCCAGCACCAGTCAGCCGCATCGTGTTCATACTCCTCGTGATAGAACACACCACCTTCCTTGTAAGCCTTCTCGAAGTAGCGCTTCAGGCTGGCCTGGCAAAAGGGCAGTGAGGTACTTGTACACATGGCAAAATCTTTAAGCGCAGACGGCGTCAAACGTGTCAGGTAAGTCCGTGGAAGCAAGAGAGCTTGTTAAACACTAACAAATTTACTATCATTCTATGATTCTATGACATTCTATGGCGGCCTCTCAAACAAACAACATGTTATCTGTTATCGCTTCAGGATCCTGGGTCCCTATGCCTTATTCCACTGCCTTCAGTGTTCTTCAAGCCCCGTCTGAAACACAAACCCCCGTCCTGAGTCAAGACACCAGGGATGTTCTCGAACTCATGCCCGGGGTGGATCGAGTCACGATTTGCATGGCAAATGTGACAAAGATCGTAGTCCGCACATGTCGTGCACTTGTATCTCTTGCCAATCAGGGGATCTGCTTCACAACCATCGCACATGACGGTAGGGTGAATCTCCAAGGCTTGCTCCTCCTCCTCTTCCTCCTTTTTGCAATTTTGCACCTCCTTTTGCACCTGGGAAGATGTCCGGAAGTTCCGGTCCAGAAGAGTGATGCAGGAGCGAGGCGAAGACACATGTGTCAATCCCCTACATGGCCACACTACAAGCAAAAGACCTATGAGACCTCCACACACATTTGGATAGAATTGGAAAAGGCGGTGGATGAAACAATTCCTACCGATTGCTGCCAAGGGCCAAACAAAAAGAGTCTGTTTTGCCCATCGAAATTGCAAAATATTGCAAAATATTGCAAATCTTCAAAATGACTTGCCCTAAATCGATCGAAGCAATTGGCAATTAGTGCAGTCCCACCCACTGGTGCAAATACTCAGGTGATATTCAATTAGAGTTCAAATCAAGTCTGCTCGAACTATGTCAGGCAAGTCGGGCAACTATAGGAGCAAGAATGAGCAAAGGACACTGTTCGGCGACTCGCAGGAGCAAGTGGCCACCAGTCTTCGTCAACAACACCACCATTTCTTGGCTCTTCCAAACCGGGTCCCAATGGCCTCAGACATACGTCCTGAAAAGTATGAGGTTTGAAGCAGCACTAACTCGCTAAAAGGTGGTGGAGTCTTGAATTAGCCGGTAGCCGGTATAAGCCTGGCACATGAGAAGACACTCTCAGCGTGTCCTAGAGGCCTGACATGGCCTGACAAAACCTGCATGATTGGATAGGATCCACAAGTCTTGTGGGGGAGCAGGAGATGAATCAGTAGGTTTCTGCTTGGCACATTAAAAATGACGAGCTTTTGACACGGGTGAAGTGGTGAGGTTTAACAGCAGACTTCTACAATCGTCAAACCTTCAATACACCTCAGAAAAGCATCGGTTTTCGCGACAAGGAAGCTTCTGTGGGCGCTTCTGGGCACTCACTTTTCCGGGCACCTCTGGAGTGCTGAAGAGAATGTCCAAGAAGTCCTTCACACCTCAAGAGTTGCACAACTCCCATGACTCCGGTGGTCAGCAAACCCACATGCTTCTCTCTCCAAACAAAGCATAGGAAAACTTTGCATGGTGTTGAACAGAAGATGCATCCGTATGGAGCTCTCTCCGGATCACAGTCGCAGTGACAGGCGCCGCCAAGCGACAAATCCATGAGTCTTCTGGGTACTCCTCCAACATCAGCAATGCTAGGCAGTGCTCAGTTGCGGAAGGATCTCGATACTCAGTGGAAACCATGTGCAAACCAT